GGCCCATTATACTATAAATATACTCTGAGGTAGGGGGCCTTATTAATTAGAATAGGGTTTGGGGCCCATTATACTATAAATATACTCTAATGTAGGGGGCCTTATTAATTAGAATAGGGTTTGGGGCCTATTATACTATAAATATACTCAGGAACCCCCAAAACCCTGTTCTAATTATTATAAGGCCCCTAAGTGTATGCGGTGAACGGCTTAAGGGTTCAGATGGGTTCAGCTTGCTTTTATCGGCTTGCCGAGGCCGGAAAGGATAGCCAGTTTATTTGACTAGAAAACCCTTTAAGCCCAGTACCCTGGCCCAAACAAGTTTAAACTTTTCTTTTAGTAGGGGGTTTAATATACCAACAAGTTTAAAGTTTACCTACTGGGCTCCTAAGAAACTGGGTTGCCAATAGCACGGAGAACACTGGGATGATTGGGGGCACGTGAAACAAAATCCTCAAACCTAAACCCTAAACCCTAAACCCTCAAACCTAAACCCTAAATCCTAAACCCTATAAACCCTCAAACCTAATTAAACCCTGAACCCGAAACCGACGTAGACAAGCGCAGCCTGCGACCCGAGAGCCCTGAGTGGCTCCTGCCATAAGTCTGCCAATCCACCGCTCGACTCTGAGCCTCGCGCAACACGGAGCATCTAAAACACGAGAACCGGCGAGACAACAAAGACAACCTAAACCCTATAAACCATTATAAACCCTGAACCCTAAACCCTATGAGCCCTAAACCTGAACCCTATAAGCCCTGAACCCTAAACCCTAAATCCGACCCTGAACCCTGTGTAAACCCTAAATTAAGAAATACAGGATAGCTTGACATCTCTCAACTGGCCATGGAGCTCTGCTGGATTGTCTCGTGGATCTCCTGGAGGTCGAGTAAAGAACGGGGATTTCACGTTGCCATCGACATCTGGAGGAACGGAGTCTGAAAACAACTCCGAGAATCCCTGGAGCTCCAAATAGCCCAAAGTAGGTACTATTTACAGACTTTAGACCCCAAAGTAGGTACTATTTGAATACTTGGAGCCCTAGGGAATTGAAGAACTCTTCGACGAAGACCCCAACCCAAAGCCGGAGTGGAGCGCATGGCTTCACGTCGGACTTATCTCGGTCCAATCTTTCAACATGTTGAAAGAAGCACACGGCGAATCATTGCAGTTCTGATTTTTTAAGGTTTAGGGTTTAGGGTTTCAGCACTCACAACTGGGACAAGAGGGTTTAGGGTTTAGGGCTGCTGACGCCAAATCCGCTCGATGCTCCCACTCCTCAAGCTCAGATCCAATGTATTGGGCACCCCCACGGAGTTTTGCCAGCCTTGGGCAGTGAATCTATGTCGCTCGGGGCTGGCATACTACATAAAGTTGAGAATAAGGAAGACAAAAGCAGGAACAACAAAGATTACTGCTAGAGCATCGAAGATAAGAGCACATCGAGAACTGCTTGCATCTTCCCTGAGTGGACGAATGAGTTTTCTCGAGACAACTAGCAACACTCACAAAGAAAGACCCTGAAGAGTAGCACGAACAGTCACATCCCTTATAATTTACTGTGTGGTTCTGGCACAGCACCCGCTGGCCGTTCCATTTCTGAGCCAGGAACCGTTGCGCACCCCCAAGCTCGAAGCATGCACCGGTAAAGATTCTAGGACGGACACAGATCTCGTATAGCTGCTGCCTGTCTCTGGGAGCTTGCATATGTCGTGCTGGAGCACTTCGAGAGTTGCAAGCTACTCTACCATGCTCACGTAGGTTGCACAAGCGTGCGGAACTCAAATTGTGAAATCCGTCGTGCCGGGCCGTTAAGCAGGTCGGAAGGAGGACTCGCTTTGAGTTTGCACTCGATGGTGTATCGCCTTTGTTAGTAGAAGCGGCGAGGCATCTGACTGGGCAAGCTCTAGGATGGTTGAGGGTGAGGCATACGTGTCTGAATGATACCGCGCACGACAGAAGGCATGACCCTGCAGCCGCAAAGCCCAAAGGCGACGAACAGAGTCAGGCGTTTCCATGTCGGGAATTATGCGGCAGAGATGGAAGACGTGCAAGGAGCCGCGTCTTCATGTCAAAACGCTACTTCTAGTTTGGGATGCGGCCAAGTATTCAGCATAATTACCCCAAAATTGGGGCTGCAAAACCTTCAGGGAACCTAGGCTGAACTGCTGCCTCCAAGTTGCGCGATTCGGGCGGCATCTGCCTTCCCGCGAGCTGCCTGCAGATGCAGAAGCTCACAGATGCCACGACCCTGCAACTGTGTATCTATATATACACACACATACATACGCTCATATGTTCTTTCTATCTCTCTCTCTCTATGTTTATATATATATATGTATGTTTTTTCAGCTTTTTCGAGCTCCGTCAGAAAAGTATTGAGGTACTGCCCCCTCGAGTGTCGCTTGTGCAAACTGCAGGTGTCCAGTCTTCAGATCTCGAACCCTTTCAGCTACTCATCACCCCGAGCCATACACCCGAGATTCTCACTGACATCCTAACCCTAAACCCTAAACCCTACACCTTATTTGTCCCACCCTATGACTGGCCAGGTCGCCAAATACCGCGGAGACTCCGGGATCGGCAGCGCCAGAAGGAAGAGCATGGCCGCTAGCAGCAGGGGTACAAGGGCCTTGCTCCAGTGTCAGGGTTTAGGGTTTAGGGTGAAGGTTTCGAGCATGAGCAAGGGTTTCAAGATTAACTATGGCTGGTCAAAGACCTACTCTACTGGACATGGATATTCATGTAGTCCGAGTCTCAGCAGCACCGAACTCGACATTACGGCAGGCCGCTTTTGTGCATCTGCTTGTAGGCTCGGAGTCATTAGCCGGGGATGCAAAACATTCAAAACCCTGTGCGAATCACCCCTAATAACATCCTAGCCCTAAACCCCTGAGCAGCACTCTCCGAAAGTCTTTCGACCTTGCAAGGTGTTGCATGTAGTTAGTTCGTTCTAGAAGTTGTAGCCGTTTGCGCAGAGGTATTGCGTCTTAAAGTTCGCAAGCCCTGGGTGAGGGTTGCTCTGGATTATCGTGCTAATCAGCGAGAAGCAGATCATATCAGACCAGCAACAGGGAGTTGCAACAACTGCGATGACGATGATGATGATGATGATGATGATGTTGATGATGATGCACTTTAAGCGCGCGTCACCTCCCTGAGCCGGCGCTGTCGCAGGGCTCAAGCTGGACGTGCTTCTCGTCCCTCGACATCCCGGAACTCTAGAACCCTGGCTCAAGGCTTTCAGGCCTCTTGTCCGGAGAACCACCCCATGCGAGCATGCATGTATCTAGCACACGAGCAAGAGGGTTCGAGGGATAGAGAAAGAGAGAGAGAGAGAGAGAGAGATAGATAGATATAGATATATATATATATGTATGTATATATATATATAGATATATAGATATATAGCAGGCAGCAAGGGAAACTAAGCGTGCTTAACAAAGAGGAAGAAAGCCGATCAACACATGTAAAGGGTTTAACACATGTGATTCACACACAGCGTGCATGTGTGGCAGCTTGTGCATGTGCGGATATACGTACATGTGCCACATGTACTTTTGCCTCATATTAAGTCATATTACTAAGACAGAGCTGGCACGGTTGCGGAAGGGAGCACAGCATGCGGCATGCAAAATACAGTTGCAAGTGGTAGGGCTGCGGCTTTCGAAACACGGCTATAGACCCTACCCCCTCATTGCCGCCCCAGCCGCTAGATATCGCCACTGGCAGAAGCTGTGGCCGCCGCTTTTAACCTCTATCCTCCGCAGGTGGCGGGCTTCTTCAGGGGTGGCGCGGACTCTGCGCATGCAACGACCTAGTCTACGTTGCCCTGTTGCAGGAGATAGATAGGCTCGGCATGCACACATGGTGCAAGGTCCGGAAGCATTCTGAAAAGGTTGGGCGGGTCATATGCCTACTTGGGCAGGCATGGTGGCCAAGAGCCCGGGAAGGGCGGCTTAGTGCATGAAGTGGATGTACTTTGCAACCCCTACAGGCCCTGTCAAGGTGACAAGTCGAAATTCCACTGAAAGTCTGCCCTGCTGCCATGATACTGTTACGACGTCCTAATCCGTCCAAGAACTGGAAGTACTTAGGCAGCTTCGCTTGCGAATACTAGCTCTTGTTCGGCCGCAGCCATGGCGATAGTGTCAATATTATTACTCTTATTACTATTATTACTATGATTACTATTATTACTATTATTACTATTATTACTATTACTACTATTAGAGTGACAGAAGGATATGGTTCCGGAATTGTTCTACATCCCTGTCCGCCTGGCAATTACTCTGCGTTCTTGCTTGCAAGGCGGTCTCACGGCGAATGCAGCTTGGAGACACTTCCCCCAGCAGGTAGCACACCATAATGCCGACTACGCAGGCCATCCTGACTCCAAGCAGCCACGTTTGTTGTTGACAATGCATACAGTAAAACTATAGTAAACAATGCGTGAACATGAAGCATTAGCTTCGAAGCCAGGAGCATGACTCAAGTTTTGTTCGGCACCTTTCGTCAGGGGACACGTGACATCTAAACCGCAAGAACAGTGCCCGACAGCACGTTGCTTCCTGCACCGGACCCCGGAGACAGCAAGAGAATGCATGCTCAATCCCGGCAACCAAGACTCACCGTCTTTTGGGGGTTTGTGCCAAGGCCTACCGCCGGGAAGATCATCCAACGACTTCCAAAACGCCCCAAATCCTACTGCCTGGAACCTCATAGTAACCCTTGCAGCACCTTCTAGTTGTCCTTCTAGATGTCGAACTCCCAGCGAAACAGCACATCTCCCGGAACCGAGATGCTGGAAGATGGCACCGAAGGCTCCTCGCAGGTGTGTGGGCGACACCTCGTTGATGTAGGTGGGAATAACCTTGGGCTGGATGCAAAGTTGGGTCCGTCTTAAAGGGGCCCAGGGCCCAGGCTCAGCAATCATGGTCTTATATAAGTTGGGTACCATGAACGCAAGGAAGGGATTTTCAGACTTTGATGGCAGTACTCGCGTTCAGCAAAGATTCCTGAAGTCCCTTCAGTTCGAGGCCCTATAACACAACAAGAACAATGCCGATGACACTCTGCGGCAAGAACGTGGTCTTGATAATACTGCTTCTTGTTTTCCTTGCCAGTCCCGAATCAAATCGTCATGCTCCAGCACCGATCCTGAAATAATCCTCCCTTCCTCTTGCCGAGGTGCCGAGCTACTCAGACCTGCTGCAAGCCGGTTGCTGTGTTCATCTTGAGATGTGCTGCTGCACAAGGGGAGAATTCCGCATCTGTGCTAGTGGCTCTTTGGCACTGACCCATCCCAAGCTCAAGCCTTCTCAGAGCGCTTGTAACACTCCTCACGACGGATCTCATGGCAAGACAGGCCGGGGGCACCGATGCCAATTCCGAGGAAAAAGCGCGCGACGATCCTCGGTAAGTCGGAATATGACGGCCCCCATTCCGGGGGTACCAAACCCTCAACCCCGTCAAACATACATGTCCTTCCGGCATGAGCCTTCATCCTAACCTTGAATGTTCATGCCCAAGCAACAGAACGTCGAAGCCGTTGCCGACGGACGTCACGTACCAAGTCAAAGCCTCATTAACGGAGCCGGCTGGCACAAACTTCATGTCCGTGCGCACGCGCGCGCGCGAGTGTGTGTGTGTGTGTGTGTGTGTGGGTGGGTGTGTGTGTGTGTGTGTGTGTTTGTGTGTGTGTGTGTGTGTGTCTGTGTGTGTGTGTGTGTGTCTGTGTGTGTGTGTGTTGGTGTGTGGGTGTGTGGGTGTGTGGGTGTGTGGGTGTGTGGGTGTGTGGGTGTGTGTGTCCCTGTGATTGCTGCACGGACCCTTTTGAACTATGCCCCCCATGCTGAAGAAGCAGAAGCTCGCTTCCAAGTTTCACGTAACATCTATAGAAACTAAGGTCCATAGATTAGTTCCTTATCATGAAGTGGACTGAAACTTTGTCACCCTTCTAGAGTAAGCGCCCGGCGAACAGCGGTGCCATGAAGAGCATCGCACCTTTTCGGCCAATTTGCCTGTAAGTGAAAGCATCTTTCGCATGAACAAATGCTCGTGGAATTTCGGCGGCGCACTGCTCAATAGCACACTGACTTCTGCGTGTGGATTGCTCAAGCGATCGATCAACTGATTGGTGCGTCATGTCCTCATTCCTGGCACCCTCATCATCTGGAGATTCTTTCTTGATTCCAAGATGTCAGACTGAGGCAGGAGCTGGCTCAGTGGACCTCATTGCAAGGTAGTCAAAAGTCATCCATTTATCATAACCCAAGCGAGCAACCCATGGAGAAACTCGCTGACTCGGGCATTTCACGAAAAGACATTGTACCAAGTCCTATAGAGGCCAAGCTTCAAGAAACTCACAGCTTGTCGCCCCACCCTACGAATCCGAATGCACGCCTTTCAGGGAGGTATTTACAACGGTTGGAATGCAGGAAAACCACCTCCGGCCCAATCGTAATGCTGGGCGCATCAACCCTCGAAGGAGAACAGCTCCAAACACAAGCCACAAGAAGCCATCACCTTAACACAACTATACATGAATACATGAATACATACATACATACATACATACATACATACATACATACATACATACATACATACATACATATGTATAAACGTACATACTTAAATGCGTCCATACACATACACACATACATACATACATACA